TTCAATATTTCTACAGGCAATTTTAGAAGTGATCTTCAAATGTTATAAAACCGTTTAGATAGTTGTATCCACTTCAAGCCGTCCTTATTGTTCTTGATGATGATGCTGGAACTATTTATAATCAGTGTCTCTAGCTTAGTAAAAGAATATATTGTTCAAACGATGAAAAAACATAATAGGAAAATTTTAAATGCAATTTTCTCTAATAATTATTCGTAGATTCTCTACACATCAAGGAAAATTTGCATGCTAACTATAATTCAAAGTTCTTGGGGCCAGATGTTTTCTTCTTTTCTTACGTCGCCCCAATGGCCGCGAATGCACTTGTGATAACGCCTATCGGCGAGGAATGAGCATGCATGGTTTAGATGGATGGAGCTAAAATGGAATACTTTAGTAGCGTCCTAAAAATAAAATATTAGCTCGAGGAAAACGTCAATTGAAAGTTGAAACACTTCAGGAATCCTTACCATAACGTCAATTATATTCAACAAGGTATCTTACCGCAGACTCGGGGTTGGTGTCCAGCAGTGATGTCAATCACAGGTTATTTGGAAACCGATACCAAACCAAATACCATCTAAACCCTTGAAAGAATACCAAAACCGAACCACTGGCGGATCCAGGGGGGCCACCGGGGCCATGGCCCCCCCCAAAAGCCTGAAAGGGGGGGGCCAACATATCTTTTGGCCCCCCCCAAAACGCTTGGAGAAAAATTAATGTGAGAAGGTTGCGTAGTAGATACCTACTAGAATCAGCAGCGTGATTCAATAGCGTAGAGAAAGTCAGGGGCGCGGGAACTACTTTCAGACTGGGGGAGCACACCATAATAGAGATCAACCTAGGGTCCCCCCAAATCTGGTTTTCTCACCGGTTTTAGGCCACTTATTTTTCATCCCTTGGCTTTTTCAACAAAAAAAAGAAACAGTTGCAAAAAAAGGACGGTATTCCGTCTGAAAGTTGTGGGGGCACCGCCCCCACTGGCGGATCCAGGGGGCCACCGGGGCCATGGCCCCCCAAAAGCCTGAAAGAGGGGGCCAACATATCTTTTGGCCCCCCAAAACGCTTGAAGAAAAATTAATGTGAGAAGGTTGCGTAGTAGATACTATAATCAGCAGCGTGATTCAATAGCGTAGAGAAAGTCAGGGGCGCGGGAACTACTTTCAGACTGGGGGAGCACACCATAATAGAGATCAACCTAGGGTCCCCCCAAATCTAGTTTTCTCACCGGTTTTAGGCCACTTATTTTTCATCCCTTGGCTTTTTCGTTTGCATCACTTTTAACAGAAATTATATTTTCTAGCCTTTTCAGCCGTTCCTCTCTTATTCGTTTCTTCCGTGACGCGTACTGAATTACCTTACCACGTGTCATGCAAAGCACTGTATCAAAAAGAAGCGTACGGGATATTTCATTTGTATCGTTCTCTCTTAAGGCTTCTCGAATGAAAACGCTTGTCTCGTCGACAAAAGCTTCGTCTGTCAGTAACGAATTATTAAATTTCCAATACCCTGGACCTCTGGTTTGACTCATGGGGCAAACTGTCAGCTGCACAGCCCGATGATCAGCTAGGAAAGGTGGCAATATGCTGCATTTAACATGCGCTTCTGGCAAACATAAATTTTCTGATATAAAAAGTAATCTAATCGAGATCTAGAAGACCCCCTTGAAAATGTAAATTGCGCGGCAGTAGGATGCAGTTTGCGCCATATATCAACAAGACTGAACTCATCTAAAGTCTCTCTCAGAGCTCTACTTCTTAGCCGACAGTAGTCTCGGACCGTTCTCTGATTTTGCCCATCTCGGTCCAGATTCGGATCTAACGTTACATTGAAATCTCCTGCAATAACTATATTATCCACCTGCATTTCAGTCAACCAGTTGTTCGCGAGCATGATTGATTCGATCTCGTCTGTGTTTGGACAATAAATATTTCCGATCAAAATCGATTTGCCTTCAAATATCCCTTTAATGAATAGGGCTCTGCCCTGATCATCTCTTCGAATTTCTTTTATCTCAAGATCAAGACCTCGCCGCATGAGTATGCAAACATAGTACCGTTAGAGAAGTAACTATCTCCACCCCATTCCCTTGGCTTTTTCAACAACAAAAAAAGAAAACAATTGCAAAAAAGGACGGTATTCCGTTTGAAAGTTGTGGGGGCACCGCCCCCACTGGCGGATTCAAGGGGGCCACCGGGGCCATGGGCCCAAAAAGCCTGAAAGAGGGGGCCAACAATCTTTTGGCCCCCCAAAACGCTCGAAGAAAAATTAATGTGAGAAGGTTGTGTAGTAGATACTTACTAGAATCAGCAGCGTGATTCAATAGCGTAGAGAAACCCAGGGGCGCGGGAACTACTTTTAGACGGGGGGGGGGGGGAGGTCACACCATGATAGAGATCAACCTAGAGTCCCCCCAAATATAGTTTTCTCACCGGTTTTAGGCCACTTATTTTTCATCTCTTGGCTTTTTCAACAAAAAAAGAAAACATTTGCAAAAAAAGGCGGTATTACGTCTGAAAGTTGTGGGGGCACCGCCCCCACGGCCCCAGAGGTAGGGGGGGGGGGCAAGCTGCCCCCCTCCCCCCGGTTCCCGCGCCTATGGAGAAACTACCGGGTTTACTAGCTTCCTTCATAAAGTGTCGTCATGTCTTATCGTCACCCGAGAAGGTCTTATTGCATAAATATCGATTGAGCTGTCAAGTTAACAAACTTGCTGTGGCAGCCTGACCTGACATGACCCGGCAACTTTTCATTCACGGAATATGCGCAATAAATTTTTTAGGAAAACTCACTGAGTTTTCGTTGAAAAAAAAACTTGTTTTGTTTCGTAATTGTACAAGAAGCATATGAGGGACCTTTTTGTCCCTTCCTGCGAAACGGTAAAAGACTTATTTCGGTCACAGCTCAGGCCAATCTCTAAGGGTCAGTCGGGTCACTTATTTCTTAAAAGGGTCCTTACGGCATCCAAGGACCAATTCCGGCTTTTGAGTGCGCCACATCAGCATTTGATGCTACGACAGATGTCGAAATCTGAATATATGTTACAGGCCGTATGAAAATTCGGTCCGTTTGCAAACGGCCTGGCCCAGTCAGGCCATATGAAACTACCTGAAAACACCGGCCGTTTGCAAACTATGACCTGAAATATCAGACCGTTTGAAAACGACCTAGTTAGTTTCGGCCTAGCGGATCCAGGGGGGCCACGGGGTCATGCCCCCAAGCCTGAAAGGGGAACAACATATATTTTTTGTCCCCAAAAACACTTAAGAAAAATGAATGTGAGAAGGGCGTAGTAGGTAGAGAGAAAATACCGTATCATTAAAAATCTGTGAGCTTGATAAAAGTGTTGGTCTTGTCTTCACCCAAGAAGTTCTTATTGCACACTTTAACCATGGATGAAAGAACCTTCATCCCCTGGTTCTCCTTCATCCATGCTTTAACTCTCGATCGACGTGTGAAGTTATCGTGTAAGGTATCATGAAGCCGATCGCGACGAAACTTTAGTACCCTCATGGTGACAAAGTCTGAAAATTTCATGACCCTGACCCAAGTGAACTTTGACTTGTGGCCTATTTCTCGAGACTGTTTGGCCATGTTGGAGGCCATGTTTGGCCGGAATAGCGATTCGGCGTATGTCGGCTCACATTATCCGCGCTTTCATAGTCTTTTCGTGGTTTAAAACGCTCAAACATGTGATATGATGTTGCTCCCACGCATTAGGGCGGATGCCAATGTCACCTTACGGTCAAGTCAGGTCATTGACCTTTGATGACCTCGGTGCACTTTTCCGAGTTTAACATGTTCCTAGGATAGTTTCGTTTAGCTGATTTTGAATTTAGCATTTTGCAGCCATTTGAACATTTACGAAGTAGTTTTGATGCCTTCGTATCATGTTACGTAGCTGCCAGTGGTAGTGGACACCTGCTATACGGACGCCCATAAGTACTCCTACTGGTTGATCTGACCTGACCTGCCCCGACATGGTCTAAACGCATGAAGACATTATCTATTATCCAAACTAACATGAAATTTGTGATCAGCACAAAAAAAACGTATTACAGCCTTACTTTAGGAGGTTCTGACAGGTCCTGATTTTTCCGTCTTTTGGGTCTGTGACCTGACCTGGGCGGTGTTTCACGGCACGCTGCCAGCCGCTGCCAGCGCTGATGGCACTTTTGGTTTCAATGGAGACATCAACAAGCCTATACCCACAACACTACCGAAGGCTGACCTTAGCTCGCGGAATGCGCTGTCAGCGGCTGTCAGCACGACCGTGAAACACCGCCCTGGAAGGTCAACCAATGACCAAGGACCTTAAAATCGGGTATCATCGGCTTCGTCTCGTCACTCACGGGCAACACGCCTGTTTTTTTCCGCGAGCTCTAGCTTAATCAGGGGCCGAACGGCAGGGGGTCCAACCGACACCTCCCAGCCCGCGAAGGCTGCGCCACGCACCGACCCGGAGCGGGCTAATTGGTCGACAAAAGCAATTTGAAGTGTTTTCAAAGTAATATTTAGGCTCGGGTTGGGTGGGCTACTATTTCTATATTTTTTTTTATTTTTAGTTTTAAAAAAATATCGTTTCAGGGCTGTGACGAAAAAATAAGTGGCCTAAATCCGATGAGAAAACAGGATTTGGGGTACCCTAGGTTTGGTTACTTGCAGGAGTTGGCCCCCCCCAAAACGCAAGTCTGGATCCGCCAGTGACTCGCGAATTCAGAACTACCAACTTTTTACCAAATTTCTTATGTTGAATACGTTAACCAAGTCCTCACAATACCAACAAAATACCAAAATTGTTAGGTTTGAAATACCAAATACCAAGTTGGTATCGGTTTGGTATCGCGTGTATCCGATTGACATCTCTAGTGTCCAGTGACGATGCTCACTGATCAGCTTTCACGAGCATGGAGAACGTGAAGATCGCGAACGTGATTTTGGAGAATGTGATCGAGATCTCATACCAAGGCCCGTCACCCCGTCTCCCTGGGTATACTCACAAAGACATCATACTGGATCTTAATGAGGTGGCAGCCGCGCAGGTTGGTCGGCGGTAGCGGCGGGATGAAGAGCTGCTCGTTCTTCCAGTCGTCCACCTCGCCGGGTCGGATCTTGCCGCGTGTTATCCGCACCAGCTCTCGTCGCTCCGTGTTTACCACCTTACTCCGTGACAGGTAGTGGATGGTCTGAAACGGGGTGGGGGTGGGGGGGGGGGCAGTCGTCAGTGGGGGTGCCGCTATACGGAGCGACGGACAGACGGACAGACGGAGGGACAGACAGACGGACGTACGGACAGACAGACGGACGGACGGACAGACGGACGGACGGACAGACGAACGAACAAACAAACACACGGACAGACAGATAGACGGATAGACGGACGGATGGACGGACAAACAGACGGACGGACGCGGACGGACGGATGAACGGATGGAAGGCAGCCGTTATACCGTGGGGGCGGACAGTACTTTTGCCATAGGCAAGGGTACAGGACGGACGGACGGGCAGTCACAGTGAGCAGAAGCATGATACCTAGTCCGTGAGGCCAGAAGCCTTGTCGTGAGATTGGGGTAGAATGTGCACACTGCACAGTGCACGTCTACCAGAAGCCTTTTATCCGATTTACGAATGGTCGTTGAAAGTTTTCTGTTTGGGAAGAAAGTGTTCATCTTATTTACTCACACGATATAAAACCCAGACAAAAGTATACGATGCACGATGTCATTAGCTTCATATTTCAGCGAACCAATGAACTGCGTTGTTTCTGCTCTTCACGGAAACAACGCAAGACGGTCATCTCTCAATCTGCAGTGGATTAGCCAGGGATTAAGGCCCTGCGCTTTCTGCACAGGCTGACGGAAGCCTGTTCACGACCACCGAACCAGCGACCAAACCGAAAAGAGGTATCGGATAAAGTTGATAGACCGGTAGATACTTGGCTCGGTGCCAGATCGCTCTGTTCAGAGGACTGTCATTGTCCAGGCATGGCCGTGAGATCCGTCTCCTTCAAATGTCCCCAAACCAGTCCATAGTGTCGTCACACGTCCATTTACAGATTTCACTGCGGGCACGGTGACTAGAAAGCAGAGCCGGTGCCGAGTCGATGTAATGGTGCCTGGTGGCGACAGGCCATTTGTGGTTTCGATTGTCGCTACAAGGCATAGACATTACGGGATAACGATAGGTCCGCTTACTGAAGAGGTAAGTACTCTACGAAATTAATTGAAAGCAAATCCTGGGAACTGGGTGCGCACATGGCGGGTGTGAGACAGGATGAGGTGCACAATAAATATAGTTACGGAAAAATAAAATTTGACGCTTTGAAGCTTATTCAAAATATAATACTGTATTTCCATGGAATAAACAAATGCAGGTGTAGTAATAAATGGACAAGTATTGCATCGAGAGTACATGAACCTCCAGGCTCCACGAATCAAACAATTAAAACAGTTACATTAAAGGCGTACCGGTTTCGTCTATTAGACTTCTTCAGCGCCGTTGTATGAAAACGGCGCTGAAGACATACAACGGCGCTGAAGAAGTCTAATAGACGAAACCGGTACGCCTTTAATGTAACTGTTTTAATTGTTTGATTCGTGGAGCCTGGAGGTTCATGTACTCTCGATGAAATGCAGGTGTACCCTCAATAGTCAAACAGCTGGCCACTGATAAGGTAATCATGGGTAAAAATGTGAATATGTGTAGCCAGATCTACCCGTTACGTCAATGCAGCATAAACCAGAAATTGGACATACCTGGAGGCTGGACTACCTATTAAATAGTGGACCATTCAGCACATGTAGTACACTCGGGGGCAGATTGATGTTCCACCACTCCCTTCCCATCGGGCTCCCATGGCTCAGCACTGGCTGCTGCCAGTGGCAGCACTGGCAGCACTGGTACTGGCAGGCAGTGCTGAGCAGTGCTGAGGGCAGGCAACACTGACAGCAGCCAGTGCTGAGCCATGGGATCGCCCGATGGGTAGGGAGTGGTGGAACATCAATCTGCCCCCGAGTGTACCACTTAAAACCCACGCCTAGATAGATGTTTGTTTGGCCAGTTTTATCCACCATATAGCCGCACAGTACAAACAGGCATTTCAAGTTGAATTTGGAGACGTTCACAAAAACACAGCCATAAATACCCAACCACCACCTCTCTGCATTAAAAAGGCAAAATTGAATCGTGTTCCGAATACGTTTTGTAACTTCACAACATGGCGCCCTGAGGTGAAGAACCATTAACAGGAGCTTCGTGCCCCGATAACCTGAGCTGACACCGCGCGTCCCGCTCCTGAGTTCCTCTCAGCGCGTGGTAAATGTTCCATCCGTTCATGTTTAATGCATGCCGTATGCCGCTCGCTGCGGACGCGTCTATAGAGGCGTGACACGAGCCTCGCCTGAGGGGGCAGGTGGGTGAGCGCACAGGTCACCGCTCCAGTCGAGGTGAAAAATAATGTCAGCGTGCCTGCGATCTAACACCGTAGAGCCCGGTAAACGTGAGGTGAAAAAGATAAAACCGAACTGTAGTTAGGTTGGTACATTCGTTACGCTCCCCATCTTACTAATGGACAAAGCGCTCCTGTTTCAAATGCGAGTACGAAGGATGCACCTCTCGGTCGAGAGCAAATTTAGCGATGTTGATTCATGTCCAATCGAACTTTACGATTCTTTTCCGGAAGCATAAGTACACATAGATAATTGTTAGCGTAAATTCGATATCCATACCTACATATATACATATTTCATCGCTATTTAACACAATGAAAAATAAATTACCTATCATGTATTTTTGTCATTCATTCATTCATTCATTCATTCATTCATTCATTCATTCATTCATTCATTCATTCATTCATTCATTCATTCATTCATTCATTCATTCATTCATTCACTTAACTCGTTCATTCATTTTTATCCTTTTATCCGTTCTTTCATTGGGCATGACTCCCATAAGCGATGAAACGGGTCAAGAGCAGAGCTGCTTGTCACAATTGCGCCATTTTCGCTGACGTCAGGGCGGTGATAGAAGCCACCCTATTTGTCACAGCGGTTACTGGAGCTTCAGAGGAACGTGAATGCACGGCTCGGATGTGCTATTGAACTGCACAAGCGTTTTAAAATGATAAGCGCATGACACAATTGTCATGCGCTTATCTATATATAATAATATAAATCTATATATATAATATAGATTATCTCTGGTGTGAATATCTCTTATCTTAAGCTCACAGCTGGCTCAGGCTCCTAGCACAGTTTAGCCTAAATGTACGACACCCACTAAATACAACCGCCCTAGCCAATTTTCTATTTTTAAGTGGCATGTGTTCCAAACAAGTCAGCACTTCACTTAACACATGACCCCGCGTTCAGCCATATAAGCTGTTCCTCCATCGCGGCGATTGGCCATTATACCACCATAAATGGGTTGATGGGCGGCCTTTTCTCGTCTGCCAGTTCGCGGGAGGCGAATCCATCACGGTTTCAGCGGGCAGTCGCCGGCGGGGAGCGGAATGCGGCTCAGAGGCGCCGTCGCGCGCGGTGATGCGCCGCGGGGTCACGCCAGGGGTCACGGGGTCAGCGGCAGGGTCAGGGGGATGACCGGGCGCCGGTCACGTGCCAGAGGTGGGTCATGACCGCCGGGTCAGGCGAGGAGACATGGTTGAGAGGGGGACACGGTGTGGGATGGTGCGGTGCGGAATGAATATTGAGGGGAGGTTGAGGCGGCTGGCACGACAGGCACGCCCTCCTCTGTGGCTGGTCACGGCCAGTTGATGTGGGTGGCTAGTGGTCACCGCCTACCAAGCAGTGCACACGGCCGTCCACCGCCCCCCCCCCCCACCGTGCGACGTCCATCTTCCAACACTCAATCCACTAATGACACCACGTCCACCATCCTTCACTGTCCGGCATCCACCGACCGCCATCCACTGTCCGGCATCCACCGACCGCCATCCTCCGACCGCCATCCTCCGACCGCCATCCACTGTCCGGCATCCACCGACCGCCATCCACCGACCGCCATCCACCGACCGCCATCCACTGTCCGGCATCCACCGACCGCCATCCACCGTCTACCCACTGGCGTCTAAAATTCACCGTCCACCATCCAGCGTTCACTGTCCACTCTCCAACGTCCACCGTATACTGTCTAACATTCACCGTTCGCTGTCCAGTGTCCACCGTCCAGCGTAGTAAAAAAAAAAAACATTTGAAAGCTTCTTTCAAGAGCATCCATCAGCACATGGAACCGCCGAAATGGCACATGTAGTTAAATCAGACTCATCAAGATTGATGCCTAGATAGGTGAACACAGCCAGATTTACTGAAGACGAATAAAAGTGCTTTGTCTGGCCTGTTCATGGATGAAATATTGCCCCATCATTTATTGTTTGGTGATATTGTTTACCATGAACAAAACAAACCCGGCGCCCAAGTTTGTGGTGAATAGACTATAGCCTTGTGTAGGCGTTTGAATGGATGACGACAGCCTCAAACCTGCTGACGTGCGCACTTGATGCATAATGCTATCGACCGCGCCGCCGATTACCAAGGCCCGCTGTATAATTCTCTGGCCCATTCGTCTCAAGTTGTCTGATGTGAAGAGACCGAGCCGCCGACCGTGCCTGGGTAACTTTCCGGCAGCCCAGCCGAGCCGCGTCTGCGCACCCCAGCCCCTGAACTGCGGTTTCATATCCAGGCCACTGAGCCGATCGCATTTCCAGCCGTGTGAACCCAGCTTCAGTCGTGCCTGTGCGGCTTCCAGCAGCCAAGGTCCCCAGCTGCAGAGCCAAGGCCTGGAGCGGCGTAATGGCTGGGGAACCCGGCCTAGGCTGGAACCATGGGAGCACAGTGCCGGAGTTCAGTTTGTTTTTCGGTCCCAGGTGAACGATAATAATTGCATATCAGGGCAATGCAAATTTCAAGCCAAGGTCAATGAAAATATGAACAATTACTCCGCGGCAGCTGAATTATTGCAATTAGGCTTCCGTTTACATGAGAACGAGTCGGCTTTGGTCAGTTACTGCCCATATAAAACCCAGTACCTACCCACCGTAGTCAAGCAAAATGACGTTTACAAGCGTGCAACACACGTGATGAAAATCTATAAATCACACTGGCAATCATGTCAGCGTAAAACAAACCTAGAACAAATTAAAACGACCTGAAACTCTCACGGTAGTATTGTATACAGCGGAAGTTTTATCTGACTAGCGTAATCAGGCGTTGTTATTTACGGATGCCAACACGGACTAGCCTGAATAGTCTGGCATAAGGCTGCTATCAAAAGAAAAATAAAGAATAACCGTTTAACGTAGAATGGCTATGATAAGATCAAACATAAAGAATCTACTAAAACGCCGCAACGCAATCGATTTGACCTTTCAATCGCTTCGGGATACAAAGTCAAGCAGAATGCCTAAACCACCAGATACCATGCGAGCCACTCACGAGCCACAAACATCCAATCACACCACCCGACATCTTGCCGACAACTTACCTCACTGAGACAGGCGGCCGTCTTTTTTATGGTGACCCTGCTCTGGTTGTCGATGGTTGCCCAGACTCCGATGGTTTCGCCAGGCACGTAGCCGCCACGGTCCAGTCGTACGCGGCACTGCACGGGGCCTGACGTCATACACGTGAGGCCCAGCTTATGTTCAATCTCGCAGTGAAACGGTTGCTGTTGGAGGGAACGGGGTGGGGTCAGAGCGGTCAGCGTGGTGAGGGACGGGGTGGAGAAAGGGAGAGGAGGGAGAGAGAGAGAGAGCCAGTGGAGAAAGAAACGGATAGATGGAAGTGGAAAGAGAGAGGGCAATGGAGAAAGAAATGAAGAATGCAATCGAGAGAGAGAGAGAGAGAGAGAGAGAGAGAGAGAGGAGAGAGAGAGAGAGAGAGAGAGAGAGAGAGAGAGAGAGAGAGAGAGAGAGAGAGAGAGAGAGAGAGAGAAAGAGAGAGAAAGAGAGAGAGAGAGAGAGAGAGAGAGGGGAGTGGAGAGAACACTGGGAAGAGAGAGGGAAGATGGCTGTAGATTGTGATTGCTGAGCAGTTGCAGGAAAGATCAAATATTGGCAATACCGAATATTTACTGCAAAGATCGAAGGGAAGCAAGAAGAAAAAACTAAATTACGCATGTAAACGTGATCACTGATCACACGCACACACGGTAACTGATCCAACAGATAAAATATAAATCGCATCAAACCATCACTCGCCAGTCGCCAGGTCGCCCAGTGCGTCACACTTCTAAAGCCGCACATTTCTCGGAGGAGAGCCCATTTCGCGCCACGCTGACTGCGGCGGCAGGGGGTGACACGCCGCGGCTCACGCGGCACAGTGATGCAAATGGGGTTCACGAGTGGCCATAAATACCCAAAACTCAAGTTTACCAAATCGGGTTAATTGCGATATGGCCGAGTAGACAAATGTTTGGGGCATCTGAAATCACATGGTTTTCATGTTTTTGTCAAAACCGGCCTCGTGTATAATCGTCAGAAGTCGTGACATTTTCTAGGTCGTAAAATGACGGTCAGACACTCGCAAGTTCAAACGCCGCTGGTTTGCGTTCATTTCGTACAAATTGAAAAAATTATGCATGGGAATGATCCTCAAAGCCTTCTGCTTCTAATACCTGGTCACAAAAAGCCGTGTCTCATTCGCTTTGGCGGTAATCTGACTATTTGTCATCATGTTGCAATCGCAGTTTTTTACTAAGAAAAAAATGCTTTCGTTGCACCTACAGCACTTAACACAGTGTGTGCCCGTTAGTCCACCATACCATAGCCTTCCCTAATCATTTCTGAGTCGCATCGTGAAAGAATTAAGGCGCTAGCACAGGGATGACCGGCGCTACAGAGGTTTTTGTCCAGGCGGTCGGGTGCCGCAGTGGGCGCGCAGTGGGCGGGTGGGTGCCGCCGCGCGGCGTCCGAGCGGCGCGGCGGCGCGGCCGCCCGGGCCGCCCGCTGCGCCGCGGCACCCGACCGTGCCGGATGAAAACTTCTGTAGCGCCGGTCAGCCCTGTGCTAGCGCCTTAATTCTTTCACTATGCGACTCAGAAATGATTAGGGAATGCTATGATATGGTGCACTAACGGGCACACACTGTGTGAAGTGCTGTAGGTGAATTGAAAGCAAATATTTTTGGTAAAAAACTACGGTTGCAACATGATTACAAATAGTTAGCTCACCGCCAAACCAAAATAGATACGGCTTTTTATGACGTGGCATTAGAAGCAGCAGGTTTCGGGGTTCATTTTCATGTATAATTTTTGCAGTGTGTATGACATGAACGCACGCTAGCGGCACTTGAATTTCATGTACCTGACAGTCATTTTACGACATCGAAAATGTCTCGACTTCTGACAATCCTACACGAGGCCGGTTTTGACAAAAACATTAAAATCATACTTTTTCAGACACCTCAGCCATTTGCCTGACTGACCATATTACGATTTATTCGATTAAGTGAACTTGAATTTTGGGCCTTTTTCGTATTTATGGCCACTCGTGAACCCCATTTGCATCACTGTGCGCGGCCAGGGACCGTTATGCAGCCGCTCTCTGCAGCCGTCCCGCACCCCACCGCACTGCGCTGGTGTCATCCCCTGTCCGGAGGGTGCGCGTAGCGGCGCTCTGTAGCTAGAAGAGCTCAGTGGAGTGAGGCCAGAGGGCCTCAAGGTGTGAGGCGAGGACACGGCTCCTGCGCAGTTCGTGTGATGCAATGTGGTTTTCGTGGCGCCGTTTGGAACTGTTTGTCACGTACTGGTGCACTCGCACGTCCGTAAGGTCTGGTATGACTCAGGGTCGTGCTCAACGCAGCACCGCATGTTTTGCCGATTTTAGACAGGAAACAGCATTTTCACTTCCTTCATTTTTTATGGGTTAGAACACGGTGTGCAATATATAAATTATCTTGTGTGACGATAAAACGTGTGACGATAAATTAAAAATAGAGCATGATATTCCTGAGCCATGCACCAAAACTTGATCTCGTTGTATTGCGCCGTTCCGATCACCACAATCGAAACGCTGTACAAATGCACTGCTATGATTCCGTCGATAAGGTCTACTGATCGGTTCCTCCAAACAGTTATCACCTCCTTTTTATCACCTGTTCCCAGCAGCCGCCATCCCCACTTTACGACTCCCATCAGTCCCGCCTCTGCTCCTTCGTCGGCCATCCGCGGTCGGCCGCGGCGCCCACCGTATTCCCGTGTTTATCGATCGTTTCTGGCCGCCGTGAGTCGATCGCTGGTGACCGCGGGCGGTGAGAATGGCCACACAACCTCAGCCACCGACCACCATCGGTCGAGGATCCGCGGTCAGTCTCACGGCAGCCACCCGGGTAAAAACGAGCCTGTACGCGCCGCCGCCGGTCCAACGATTAGTCAGCGGGCTGACCATTAACACCGATCCACGACACGGTATCCACGGGCCGGCCCCAGTGAACGGACGGACTCTCCCACCGGAGGGCGGCAGAGGAGCGGCGATACTGGCAGAGACGGCCACAGATACCGGTAATTAGTTTCAATAACTTGTGACTAATCGTAGATAATTATTGGTTATTTTTCATCGAAGACGCCGTTGTTGTTTTTTTGGGGAAGAGCTGGTAAGGCTGAACAGTTCGGCTTGGAACAAAACGGACATGTATAAAAATATATGCGTCATATCTAACGCATAAGTTCCTTAGGCACGTCACAGGCACGCTCCTTAGGCCCTGTATGACAATTACACGAAAGCCATGGATTTCGCCCAGTTTGTCACCATGCACCTTCCCAGGTACCGTCTTAGCTCATCATTGCCCGTATCATTTTGTTTGATACATTACCAGTGGTTTGCCAGCCAGCCGCAGAAACTAAACGGTGCGACAACCGCACTCAGTGATTAAGCGTTTATCGGCCTCTGATAGCAGCCTACTTCTCGCTCGAAAGCCGCGGAAGGTAGGTACGCAATTACTGGAATCGTTCTGCCTCGTACCGCAGATTCGCGTATAAATTTGTCACATCGCTGGGACCACATAACGATTCTTTAGCTGAAATTACGGCTACTTATCCCTTCCTGCAATTTCTTTTGCGAAGTATATGAGTCGGCTTATCAATTTCGGAAAGGCCTGACCCAGTTTTCGCCAAATCACCGGGTGAGTCATAGGACGGGTGGCTAATAGCTTACAGACGACTCTGGGACGAGGCCGAATCAGCGTCCCTGGTGAGTCTGTTCAGCGGGCTGCGGCGGTCGGGCGGCTCGCCAGAGGTCAGGCGGGGTCAGGCAGGGTCAGCCGCCGCCTCTGACCGCTCTCTAAGACGGCGGCGCCGGCGGGCGGCTGGCGCGAGCGAGCGGTGCCCAATCTGACTTTCAGATGAGCCATGGCGCGTCAGCGGCGCTCGGTGACGCCGGCAGGGCGGGGCGGGGGCGGGGGCGGGGGCGGCCGAGGCTGCTGCCCCCGGATCTGGCGGGCCCGTCAGTCCGGGATGACTGGCCTGGGATCAGCTGAGTGCCGTCCACCGGCACTCCCCCGGGCCAGGGATGAGTGCGGTGTGGTATGGAGCCATGGCCGGGCTGAAGGATGGGAGGGACAATCAGCCAGACTAGGGCCGACTGCTAGTGCGTTGTGTGGCGCATAAAAATCGAGGGGTTCTTTTCAACTCCCATAAGTGTAACAAAATAATGATGTTCTTACAAAATGGGTAACCATGAACATTACCTACGCAAACATCACACAGGAAATGAGCCTGACTTCAGTTCCACCGTTTGTGGGACTGATGTGGGAGAACTGACACAAAGGTCAAACTGCTCGGTCATAGGGTCACTGGTCAATAAGCATTCAGCTGACAGTTTCGGTCACTGATTCGCACAGCCTGGGAAACCGAGCGACAGAACCGCATCAACTCAACCACCATCGATTCGATTAGTGTACGTCGGAATGACAGAACTGTAGCACCGAATTCCACACGTTCGATCGTGACTCATTAGTTCCTTTTTACCGCTCATCCCGAGTCGTTCTCCCCGTGTCGAATCGTGAGCTCCTCTCCATATGTCGGGTCGTGAGTCCGTTATCTGGTCAGACAACTGCGCTCTCTGCCTGGGCTGTGACTGTACTATCTCAGAGAACCGTCACGGTCTCCCTACCGCGAGCTTATTAACCGCGAGACAGACGGTCTGACACAATGGTGGGCAGGCCGCGGCCTGTTACCGCCGACAGCGTCTCGTTATTCGGTCTTAACTAGTTCAATGTGTACAGATGAATGTTTCATCTGCTTTTAAGAGAGCACGTAGAGTTCAAATCACGGGCTGAATCGGGCGTTAGTTATGATGAATTCCTCTCATATCAGCAACACATCGTGCTATTATACAACATTTCCTAAACACACAGCAGTCGCATATGTAACTGTACACACATCACAAACACAAGCGGTATGAATGAAAACGATATTTTTTGCTATTTACCATCAAGATAGGCAAACAATCCCCTATCCCTGACCCAACTCACCGCAAGGACGGGCGGCTCGACGTTGAGGTCGATCGGGTTCATGACGATAAACACCTGCTGGTTCTTGTGCACCAGTCCGCCGTTCTCTTTGATGGCCGCCTTGCAGAAGAACTGCACCCAGCCGTGCTTTCCGAGGAAGGTAGACGGCAGACCCAGCGGCAGGCCCAGCTTGAACGGGAAGCTGTGGATGCCGGCAGAGAGAAGCACTGGAGCTTGACCTGGAACGGGGGACTCGCGTCAGCGGTTGTCGCATGGCATAGCGTCCACAGGGCAAGAGTGTAAAAGGCTGCCGTCTCGTCGTGACTCGTCGTGTGGTGCCTGAAGTCCTTGTTAGATGTACTCATAGGAAGCAGAACTGTTTGAAAAACTTTGCAGTTTTTAGTTCCGAGGAGGTGTGAGCTGGGTGCCGTAGCTTTATTCAGCAGCACGGTCACCCATGTCTTCCTGTGTGCTACCGTCATGTGCTGCAGTGCAGTTACTAATGCTTATGCTACCTTTCTACTCGACAGTGCAGTCACCTTGCCTGCTGTTACCTTTCTATCCCGCAGTGCAGTCACTCTTCGTAGTGACTCACGCTGCACGCTGCGGTTTACTCTCTCAGTGGTATTTTATATGCCGCAGTGCAGTCCCCAAGGCTGGTGCTACCCTTATACCCTGCAGTGCAATGCTATTCTTATATGCCGCAGTGCAGTCCCTCATATTGGTGCTACCTTTATAGTTTATACCCTGCAGTGCAGTCACCACTGTTGGTGCTATCCTTGTACGCTGCAATGCAGTCCTTCCAGTGCTACCTTCTTGTGCCGTAGTGCAGTTTCAGAGCCTGGTGCTACTTCCTGCGCAGCGTGAGAGTCTCCGCTCGTATGTACGTACATGCCGAATAAATCTCGGCGCCTACTTCATGAAGCGAATGTTCACTTAGTTGACTTAGTTACTTTACTTATTTGGGGATTGATGATTCGCTCATATAATGTTATATACCATCATATCGGCTCACAGGTCACCTTATGCTTTTGTCAGGGAATTGGTTTACCTCAGCACTATACCTGAATTTGCCATGCGATTTGTCACCTAGATGTCATTTGTCACTGTGCATCATACCTTCTATGCCATAGGCAAGAAGGTAACTAATTTTTTATATACTTTAAAATCCGCTTTTGAATAATCGTATGCCATTATTTTTTTTCTCAGGCATATGTAGTTTATAATCTGCTAATACAAACATGGCATTATCGGTAGAATAACCTATTTCCATAGCAAACGATAATGAATTCAATTCAAATAGAAGTTAGGCACGCCACACTGCGAACTTATTTAGCTAGTTCAATGCATTTATTTGCCTGACACGTGCCCTTTAAAACATCAGTTTTGTTCAATATGTCATGGCATGAAATTTGCATATTTCGATGACTTAACAACTCGAGAAGTCGCTGGGCTGAAAAATGAGTAATTATCCCCGACATAAACGTTTATTCTAATGACACACCATCAACTACACCAAGAGCACTCACTTAAGGTATATTCCTAATGGGAACGACGCTATGTCGGTCCGAAAGTTATGTGAGACGTCGTGACTGGCAATCTGACCGCACTGAACCCGCTGGATCCGGGTTGTCCCACTCCTTCCCAGGGTCTCGGTCCTTATCGACCATTCAGCAGCGGGAACAGACAGTGGCCCCGGGCGGTCTACCGGACAGGTACCCGCAGAACAGGGGAACCTTATCTCTGACGCCGCGGGCAGAGAGCTGATGAGTTTCCGCTGTCAGACCCGCGGCGTGGTATTGTCTCTCAGTCGCGGCCGGGACTGAGATCTCAGAGCTGGGACGAGTTCTAGTAATTAGCGACAGTGTCACCCGCCCTACGAGCTTCCTGTGTTACTGTGTCGTGAGTTTATGTCATCTAAGCGTAACCATGACTCATTTTTTTCATACTCGCTAGTGTCTTCCCCAGTTTCCATTGCATATTTAGTATACTGATGCAAACATATTAGAAGAAAAATTGTAGCAGTCCGCACGGGACATGAACCGTCCGGAGCATCCATGATCACTGCATCGTGCATCAAGGAGCATGAATATCAGGCACACCAAGCCTTCCAACATACTCGTACATTTTGCGTTACGTACCTGGCTCTCCTAAAAGCCTCATCTTGAAGTCGATGTAGTTTTCTTTGTCGATGTGTCGCTGGTTTTGCCGGTCGCTAACTTTGACCGTTCCTTCTCCAACCACGTGGAAAAAGACACCTGAAAATAAATATTGATTTGGTTACATACCGTACTTGGCGAGCAAGAGTGGCACGAAAAACACCAAATAGATGGATACGCCTTTAATACGAATGTCCCTTTTTACAGTCAACGCAATATAACTACCATTGACACAACTAATAATTGCGTTGGTTATTAAAATGGGTACGAACACGAACGTTTAAGTATTAATGCACAACGAAACACTCCTTATATACCACACCGTTCCATTCACAGAGGTCAATGCTCTTTGACTAAGCATTAGTTTGGTGAATAGACAAAATAACGAATTGATGATGACTTTCATCCATCAAGCTATTGTCCAAACATAGGGAAATTGAGCCCATGTGAGGTGCGCCATTGTTCATTTACATTCAACAGATGATCGACTATGAAGAATAGTCAATAGAACCGAGACTTCACGCTCTATTTCCCACCCCCGTGCACATCTGCTTGTTGTTTGCACCTTCTTTACAAACTAAAATACGGCGTTTAGTCTTCAGGTACACACGTATTCACAGCTTCAACATAGCTTTAAATACATAGATACTAATAGCTCTTGCAATCTCTTCAAAGAGGTGATCTATGGATTTAATCCAGCCTTCTTCATTTCGTACTCCTAGATTAAGGTTCGGTGGACAAAAAGTTTTCTTATCCCTCCTAAGCTCATCGCATTATCGCATATTACGAGCATTTGATATAAATGGGAAAGGCAATGGGAACGTGTTGTTTTTATATTAAAATTGGTTACACATGTGTTTCGGGAATAATCCCTTGGTCACACCATATAAAAATAACTACCTATATCGAAATACAATCGAGGTCGAACGGGGTCGAATGGGGACGTTCACAGACACTCACAGATTAGCAATTCTATACATGACTGAAAACGTTACACTGCTTTTCGCCCGGAACCCCTACTTCCTGAAATCATTTTTCAAAATTAATTGAGCAGTGTGCTTGCTGAGTTTTACTTTACCCGAATTCCCATTGAAATTACTAATCGTAGAAATAAACGCTGCTTCCACCGCCTGTCGGTTACGCTTATTTAATCCCACGCATAGGTTTGACATCGCCGACCAGTTTGGCAAATGCCCCGCGTCATCCACATGCTGCACTATGGCGTTAGATTCTTGGTGATTCCGCAAATCTCTTTTGTGTTCCTCTACCCGTTTAGCTGCACCCCTGTATGTTTCCCCTATGTAGCTTTTTTCACAAACGCCACATGGAATTTTATAAACTCTTAGTCCTGTGCTCGCGTGTATCTTCATGGAAACGTTAGAAACGGATCATTTTCTGAACATCGTCGGTCAAAGCACCACATGGCTAAGGTACGTGGATGACATTCTGGTTATAGTGAACAAGCAACAAGATTTAGACAGTGTTCTTCGAAAGCTCAACGACGTGCACCCGAAAATACAGTTCACCTGCGAACAGGAACAAGATGGCAAGCTCCCTTTCCTAGACACACTGATTTGGAACCGAGAATCAAGACTGATGTTTTCCGTATACCGGAAACCGACCAACAAGAATGACTTTATCCATTTTTATTCGTCGCACAGTCAAAGAACGAAGACTGGAGTCGTTTTGGGATTTTATCTCAGAGCGTTTCGCATCTGTTCAAAGGAATATTTACAGAACGAGCTAGAGTACATTAGGACAACTTTTACCAAACTCAGCTACCCTTTGGGTCTTCTCCTTCAGCTAGAAAAGAAAGCTATAAAGATCCGCTCAAGATCCTCCAATTCAAATGCCACGAAAAGAAAGGAATATATATCAGTACCTCTGTCAGAACAATCTGAAGTGATCACAAGCTTTACCAGGGGAGCCTTAAACATTACATCTCCATCGGGTTCAACAATTAAGGATATTTTACGGCGCAAGAAGAAAGCAAGCAACCAAAACAGTGTGGTTTATAAAATTCCATGTGGCGTTTGTGAAAAAAGCTACATAGGGGAAACATACAGGGGTGCAGCTAAACGGGTAGAGGAACACAAAAGAGATTTGCGGAATCACCAAGAATCTAACGCCATAGTGCAGCATGTGGATGACGCGGGGCATTTGCCAAACTGGTCGGCGATGTCAAACCTATGCGTGGGATTAAATAAGCGTAACCGACAGGCGGTGGAAGCAGCGTTTATTTCTACGATTAGTAATTTCAATGGGAATTCGGGTAAAGTAAAACTCAGCAAGCACACTGCTCAATTAATTTTGAAAAATGATTTCAGGAAGTAGGGGTTCCGGGCGAAAAGCAGTGTAACGTTTTCAGTCATGTATAGAATTGCTAATCTGTGAGTGTCTGTGAACGTCCCCATTCGACCCCGTTCGACCTCGATTGTATTTCGATATAGGTAGTTATTTTTATATGGTGTGACCAAGGGATTATTCCCGAAACACATGTGTAACCAATTTTAATATAAAAACAACACGTTCCCATTGCCTTTCCCATTTATATCAATACGTCTATGTAATAATAATTACGAGCATTTATTCACACCCGATAACAATACAAAAGCAATATTCTTCTGTTGTCACCGGGTGTAATTGTTCATAACAATGTTTCGCAAGCCACAAATATACGAGTATTTTAACTGTGCAAGTTAACGGTTCGTTCGACCCACGTGATTCAGCTCACACAGATCATGATCTGCGCTCACACGTAATTTTAGTTCCATGTCAATGTTGGAAGGCCAATGGCTTGCCCGTGGCCTGGTGGCAAGGCCCTATCTATGAATCTATGAAATTATGAAATTGTCTCCCAGGGATGAGGCACTCTGGTGTAGTGTTCGTTCATGTGCTAGCAATCGATGCATTCACACCTAAAAAAAAAAACATTTATTCAGTTACGGGTAGGTTTGGATACAGGACTCCTACAAGGTTCTGTAGTTGAGCGTATTTTTCAGATTTGTCTACGCTGTTAAATATTTTTTCTAATCGTTGATCATAAAGCTGCAGCTTTTGGCGTAGGTATCTCTGCTTCACCTTGATGTTATTGAAGTCAAAGTTGACGTCGGTTTCTACAATTTAGAGATGATACCTAATACCCTTAACGAATCGTGATCATTTTTCATGAAAATGCATCACGAATTGAAATAAGCAAGCGTCTAACGAAAGGTAAACATCTGTTACCTTGAATGTTATTACTGCACATTCATTTGAAATGCAGCGGTAACTGGTATCAAGCCGCACGAGACACGCGCATGAACCTCTAGAACCGTGTGGCTATCCAACACTTACTTCTCTCCCATGGATGAAAGACCCACGAAGCATGAAGCTTTTATAAACAAGGTGTTATAACGGTGGATACATGTAGAGTCATTCAGTGGACCAAGTAACGACACAATGTATCGTCCCGTGTAGGTACTAGGTACTACACACACCATGATGTCGCTGCTGGTTACCGCAATGAAGTAACAACACCCGTTTAGAAGAACGATATAAAAACAAACAATGGGTCATCATGCGACACGGCGCCACCGGGCTGACGGATCCAGCACCATTGTTGACCCCCCCCCCCCGCCACAGAGGCCTCTGTTTGGATGGAGTGGTCACGCGACCTTCCCTCCAGCCGCGTCACACTCCCGGCCCGTCACGCGTCACGTCACGCGACGCACGCCCTCGTCACGCACTCTGTCGAGAGACGTACGACTAACGACTGGGACCGGTACGCAGTCCCAGCGGGAGTGAATTGAACACCACCCAGGGATGGGCCTAGACAGAGCCTACGAGGCGTTATCATTGGCAGGTCGCTGCTGCGTGATCTTCATTGCATGACACTGAAGGTTTGTTCCCTTGTTAGTCAGTTTTTGCCGATTTTTACGCCCCGTGCTGCTAACGCCAGGGAGAGGTATCTCGCAGCTCCGGCTCTTCTCCCCAGCTATCGATGGGCGGAGGTAGCCATTGTCTGCTCTTTAGAGAGCGGCGCCGGCCCGGCCCGCCCATGTGACCCGGCGACCACCGAGTGAGAGTCGTGCTCTGTCCCAGCCTGCACGCAGAGAACGGCACCCAGAAAAAACCGCCGCCCGGCTGCATACTTTCCGCCTTGTAAGCGTCGGTCGTATGGAGAGCGGGGTCACGAGTCAGCACGGGTGTTCGGCTCCCGAACTGCGGCCAGAAGCCGCCGTGTAACGACGATATACTGGCGTGTTTTTCTTGTACTGACGGGGATTGGAGCTACCTTAGCTATGTCATGTGCGACGCATCAATCGCATCAGTGGCGACCACGAGTTACTCAAACAACGACAAAGTTTGCTGTGTAGTGCAGTGCATTAGTAAATATGTCACAATTGCAGATAATGTCAGATAAGGTAACATAAATGTATGAATGAATCGAACTTTTTCCACCTACTACCAAACTCCAAAAATATGGACGAAAGACAACATTGAGCCGATAAAAAAGGGGAAATTATGTCTGCAGAGAACACAGTGCCACGTAACCGGTAACATGTGAGCATAATGAGAAATATTTAGCGGAACGTGACAAACACAAAACTCGCCAACAACCACAACAGGGCTACAAAGTAGCTCTTTTGTTGAGCATGAAGCGAACCCAAGACGCTGAACGAACAAACGTTCGGGAAAGCTCCCAGACTTCCCACAGGCTTATTAATCAACGGCTACAGCACAGTGCATGCATTGGTGCACACTGCACCGCACCGCAGATAATGTCATGCCAGGATAATAAGCCGTGGGATTTCATCTGGTCACAGCTACACAATGACGGGTGACGTCAGCTGTCACAGACCAGGAAAATGGTAGCAACACTACCAGACAGAGCAAAATGTACGAGTCACAGATACCGCGCGAAATCAAAACAGCAAAAGGAGCAAAGAGGAAAAAGTGGGAGAGGGAGGAAAAGAGTCCAAGGCAATGGCAAGAGAGAGAGAGAGAGAGAGAGAGAGAGAGAGAGAGAGAGAGAGAGAGAGAGAGAGAGGGGAGGAGGAAGAGAGAGAGAGAAACAGAGAGATAGAGATACAAAGACAGAGACAGAGACATAGACAGACAGACAGAGATAGACCGCAAGAGAGATAGAATGAGTGAAAGAGAAATATGAAGAGACAATCAGAAACAGATATACAGAGAAGCGAGTGTGGAAGACGGAGAGACGAATTAAACGGCGGAATCTTGTTTTTCGTTTTAATATTCACCACTTCAGCCTTTCACTTGGGTTGTAATGCTGCGCTGCAAGGGCTGATCATTGATCATGTTTACAAAAAGATACTTCGATCCCGGCAAGACACGTCCACTCGACATCCTGTTAGCGTTGCATTTATCCGTGGTCGGGGTCACGGGGTTAGCGCCAGTCTCGCGTGCCAGAGGTGCCATCGAACAATAACCATCGTCATCGACCATGGGCGCGGCCGATTGTTGGTGCGATGGATGGGGGAAACTGCCGACCTGTGTTCTCCAACAATACCGCCTAAGATATAAGAGAGCTCTGGGTCAACGGGCGATTTAAGCCTGTCCAGAGCCTGTCCACTTCATCAGCTGCTCAATCGAACCAAGAAACAGCCCTCGGCACCACGCCCAGTTCACATCCTTTAGACACCGCTGTCATCTCCCCTGGTATTTCGAGGCTCCAGCTCTGACACAAAGGCTGTTACTCGTCATGAGCAGACGGTTAACACCAGCTCCATCCCGACATTTGACCGGTCTGACAGAGACAGAGACAGAGACAGAGTAACACAGCAGCAGCAGTCATGCCGTGCAGCATCCCGGAAGACCGAAGACCGGAAGGCCGAGCCACACACTGTCGAATGCTGCGTGCGAACTGCACAATACATCGGGCTCGGGGGCTGCTGTGCCCGCGGGCTACGGGTGCGGCATTGGAGCAGCGTTTTGGGACGTAGCGGTAATCGTTCACTTCATCGTGCAGTGTAGCGGTGGGTTATAGCGACACACTGTGCATTTTGGTCAGGTCATGACCTTGACCTGGGTTCAAGTTTATGCTTTTTCATATAATTTTATATATCGCCCGACGCGCCTAGCGTCGAGAAGTGAGATACTGATCTCTGAGTCTGCAACTACAAATAACGGCACACATTGTTAGGAAGCAAAATCTGCAGAAAAAGTTAGGCATTTTTACCTGTCATGACCTTGGTGCGTCAAACAAGTGATCTGAGGTCATTTTCGTCTGCATCATACGGAAAGGTTTTTAAAGTGAGCTAGCTGATGTGTCATGACTGAATTCATTTAACCAGACCATATAATATACTTTGTGCGGACGGCCACCTCGTTTACTGTTTACCTACCGGCTACCTACATAGAGTTATGTCACACATTTCGCAGTGACCAGTAGTGGCCGGGAAGCGACACGTACGTAAAAATATAACGAACGTCGAAGCATCGCGTGAAGTAGCGCAAAAAAAGAAGAATTTTTGTCAGGGATAAGTGTAAGTTCAATTCTCCAAATAAAGAGACCAGTATGGTATGGTTTCATTTCATTCCCGAAGAAAGCGTTTCGACCTTTGGACTTCGGATGATGTAACGCTTTTACCGATCAATAAAACCACCAATCATCCTCGGGACCTCGCGACCTGCCAGTGGGTGCACCACAGCGAGAGGTGCGGGGCGGGCGGTGAGCACACCTACCTTGAACGGCGGTCTCATCTTCGAGCTCGACGAGCACACGACCGCTGACAAACTGTCCCGGGAAATAGAGCAGCGTCGGGTTGTCGAAAAGAATCAGGAACTTGAGCAGTTTCCGCGGCATGGCTGACGCTCACAGGGGTGACACACGAGGGAAAGCGCCGGGCGGGGAGGGGGCGGGGGTGGCGGTCACAGACGCGAAATGTCACTCTCGTCGGAGAGATGTGAGCATAACGCACAACTCAGCACCATGACCACGACGGGACTCGTCTCGACCAGCGCTCACTCCAGCAAAGACACGCCCCTTCAAACACCACAGCACGGGCGAAACGCGTCACCCAACCCGCGGGTCGGGGTCCCAGAGAGCACTGCCGGCCGCCGGCGGACGCGGCACAACTTTCGCCGGGAGCCGCGGCCCGCGCCGAGCGAGAGGTGACCGAGATGGGAGAGTGAGGTGCCTGCCATCTAGTGACGGATCTAGGAACAACAGCTTTGGGATATTGGCACAGACGATGTGAGTAGGACGGATGAGGTGGTCTCGGTCGGGGATCCGCGCATTTTTATTTTAGCGGGATGGGAGGGGGGGGGGGGGTGGAAGGGAGTCACGAGTGTTTCGAATAGATTAAACGGTGTTGAATGGATTAACTGCAGCATCGTGTCCCAACTTTTGGAGATGGTGTCAAATTATGCGCCTCTCTATGTTTTTGGCGCGTCGCGACCCGTGCTTCACATAATCAGTCATTGGAGGTTGTTTCCTGATGAGCGCATCAGCGGCATGAGGTCGCATCACGATACCGGGATTAGTTAATCTTGGTACGACATCGGACCGATATAGTTACAAGACGAGCTTTGCATGCTGCCTACTGTCCCATCGAACTCCTTTTCTATCCTTCCCCCTAGGTTTGCATTGACAGACTGCTTATAAGCCAGACCCGTAAGGTGTTGCTGCTGAAATTCGCGCTCAATGTGACCTGTCCGAACCCCTAGCACATCACCTAAAAATGCCCACATAGCTCAAAGACAATGTAGACAATATCGGCGTGTATTTCAAACAGGACAATATGGTAGCGCAACATGAGCAAAAAGGCTAGTCTATTGACGCTTGGAGCTTGGAATGAGGCCAGAACAATGCATCAGTCGCACCCAAAAACAGTTCTTTTCTTCCCCGCGCGGTGAGTCCTATCACAAACAGTAACCACAGCAGACGGTTCGCGTGCTTGGCACGCAATCTCAACTGAAACGGACGCCCACACAATAATGCACTCTCACTCTGAGACCCCCGTAGACCTTCGACCTCCCGTCCCCATGCCCATCCCAATCGCGCACCTCGCTCGTCTTGGCGCCCGGGGCCTCCCGAAGTCAGTCGTCGAGGAGTAATTTGGACGTCAGCGGACCCCCGGAGGACAGATTGCCAGTGAACTCTCGGAGGACCCCAAACGCCAGTCGTTCCGGGTGCCAGCGGATATCCGGAGAACTCCGAACGACAATCGGACATTGAAGCCCGGAGTATTCCGGTAGTCAGCAGACCCCCAGAGCACCCTAACGCCAGTGGACCCCTGGAGAACTCCGACCGCCAGTGGACCCCCAGGAGGAAAACTCCAAACGCCAGCCGTCCTGTGCACCTCTGGACGTCAGCGGGTCAGTCACGCGGCGGCACCTACGCAGTGGCGTCGTCCTTTGTGACGGCGAAGTAGGCTGCCTCTGCGAGCGGCTCGTGTCCGCAGTCCAGGATGACCACGTCATTGACAGGCCGGTCCCGGCCGTCCGTCTTGGTGCCCTCCACCTTACGGACCACGTCCTGAAAGAGAGAAGAGGGAGGGGTTTGATGACCACGTCCTGACGGGAGACAGGTTAGACGGGAGCATTCCAGACCATGTCTTGATGGGGGAGGGGGGAGAAAGGAACCTACCAACCACGCTCTAACAGGGAAGAAAGTGACGGTCAAAGTCTTGTCTCGTAAAAGGGGGTGGGTGGTGAAACAGCTGTAGACCGACGCAACTTAATCATCGAAGAAAGCTGCGATTGAATTCCGAATTACGTTTTAAACACAATTAGATACTAACAAACTTGAAATAACTACCACATATATTTGTATTTTCAACATTTTCGAAATAATCTGGATAAGCATTAAGCAGGCAGCTCAACATAACCGAACAGTCTAGAGGCTGCTCACTGCATGCATACTGTCTATGCAGTTTTTTAACAAATGCACAGAGCAAAATCAGTATAATTTAAGGCCTCTATGCGGTCATGATATAAAATGCGATGGTGTCGATCCCACCGGCCATTATCGCCCAATGGTGTCGAACCAAACAGCAACCATCCATCATCAGCCTACCCTCACCACCACGTCTCGACCGCTCCACTCACCATGCCCTTGAGGACCTTTCCGAAGACGACGTGGCGTCCGTCCAGCCACGAGGTCTTCTTCACGGTGATAAAGAACTGGCTGCCGTTGGTGTCCTTGCCGGCGTTGGCCATCGACAGCCAGCCGGCGCCGTAGTGCTTCAGCTTGAAGTTCTCGTCGGCAAACTTCTCGCCGTAGATGCTGCGGCCTGAGAGGGATGGACAAAAATGCCTCATAAATACGATATAATTATAGAGCGATCACAAGATGGCAGGGTTGCAATACCTGTGGGGAACGTAAATATTATATCGGTATCCAGGTTGCCCTGGAAAATCAACCATATTTTTTTGCAAAAAAAAAAAAACGTTTGGGTAGTTAAATGTTGTCTGTCTCATCCGGTGTAACCGCAGGTTGTTTGAAAAGACAAACACTATTCGTTAGAATTGTGTTTTTCTATTGAAAAACAACCGGAGCGGTCCTTCTCCGGGCTACGGATGCCGGGCGATCACGTCGTCATCCAAGCGTATTGCGTACAACATTCCAATTTGTGTTATAATTTGGTGCGAGATTTTGCTTCGGCAATATACGAAGTTATGCATCATCGGAAAAGCTCATTGGTATGAAGGCTTGGCTACACTATGCGTTTTCTGCGTGCGTTTTTTGTGCGAGTTTGCGTGTTTTGCGTAATATCGTTCTAGGAAAAAAGTTATTACTCATTTAACTTCTTTAATATTTATATAAAAGTTAATAAAACGCTTATATTAATTAAAAGTTTATGTGAAAAACATCACAAAAACGTAATGTCGTTTCTTTCTAGAACGATATTCCGCAAATCACGCAAACCCGCAGAAAACGCACGCAGAAAACGCAAAGTGTAGCCAGGCCTCTATCCTTATTGACCAGCCATACATGGTTACGATCTCGTTCCCAAATTTCAACAAAACATCTTCTTTTCTCCCACGCGGACACCCCCACCCCATTCCACCCCTCCCCGTAAACTCCCGGTCCCGCCGTCCCTCACCTCCGGTGCCGTCTCCGCGGGTGAAGTCGCCGCCCTGCAGCATAAAGTCCGAGATGACCCGGTGGAACTTGCTGCCCTTGTAGCCCTCGCCGGCCGGCTTGGTGGCCAGCTCGGCAAAGTTCTTCACTGTCTTGGGCACCGTCTTGCCGAAGAGGCCGATCTCGATCCGGCCGGCGGCCTCGCCTCCGATGGTGATGTCGAACCAGACCTGCAGAGCAGGGAAGATGGGCAGTAGGGTGAGGGAAGGGTGTGGGAGGGAGAAAAGGGGTACATGAGGACATGTTCGTTCACACCAATGATCATTAAACATTTTTTAGGTTATCAAAATTTATGCAAAATAAATAGGGACATCACTATGTCGAACCTCACGGCCGTAATTAAGACTAGAGAATAAGTAATGACCATGTTATGGATGTTTTCAGTTCTATTATCAGGACTAACACTGTGCAATGGAAGCCAGATGTATGTAATGCATCCCACAGCCAGCTTATGAGAAACTGAGTGCAAAAACACCCAGATGTGCTAATTCTATCCTGTACAATGCACATAGTCGAGTGTTAAGCTGAGCCTTACCTTATCTGTGACCTTGGGGCCATTGGCCTCAGCAGCAAAAGCCAGCCCCAGAAGAGCCAGGCAGACTGCTGAGCGCATCACTTGCTGCATGGTGGTCTCTGAAATAGAGGAGAGGTGAATTAACTTTCAGGGACTGTATGTGCACCAAATTCTTGGAATGAAAGATACAACCTGGTTTGGTGCCATTTAACCCCTAAAGTGAACAACTGAACATCCTCAGTCACCAAGTAAGTTACCAGCGCAATATTTTTGGAGCCACCACTCACAAGGCACCAACCATGGGTCAACCAAATCACCTTTATGTCTCGCAAATCAAAGTCTGCTATGTGGAACACACTAAGCAAATGACACATCAAATAATTAAGCATAACTAAGCTTCACAATTACTGCTTACATGGAAGTTGGAACATTTTTAGAATGCCTTGGAGAGCAACTGTGTAATCTTGACCTGTTATAGTTGTAAATGTTATTGTTCAGCTGGGACATAGTTTATGTATAAAAATGTATGACCTGTTATGTGTAGAACACCTACAGCAGAGAGGACCTATGCATTCATGCTCCAGCACATTTGGCTCTGATCTTCAGTTATCAATTATCATGACCTTGGATAATGTATGGTCTGTTACAAGAGTCATAGCTTTCTTTATCTTACTTTTTAACCAAAACAAACTTTGCAAAGTTCCTCATTTTAAGCAGATGAGGAACAAAGCCATTATTTGAGGTTGCAGTTCTCATTTTGTAAAAAAAGGGCAAATAGGTACCTGGTACAGTGCCTCAAAGGACCAATAATTCCAAATTAGCTGTGAAAGTAGTAAGTGCTACAGCCAAGCCATCTAAATTCAGACAAAGTGCTTCAAGTCATTACCATGTACCTATTTGGCTCACAACTTAGTGAACTGAGTAAATTGTCTACACCAGCTGTCTGAAAATATTAGAAAAATGATGTCAGACAAAGGAATTAAGTATGTTGGCATGTGCATCAAAAGCTGTTTGGCTTTAACTCAGAACATATCTAGACTATAACAGCCTCCATTTAGTTCTGTGTCAAGAAGTGTCTGCCATACTTTAAAAACATTTTATTCAATATATTTGCCTTTAATCCAAAGAAGCCAAGGTCACCAATTTACTGTCCAATACCTTCTGTGGAGCAGCTTTCACAGAGTATCTGATAGTCAAAATGTTTATCAGTAGGTTACCTCAATAACTGGTGGCTGCTCACGAGAGGTGCTCTGGAGGTGTATTTCGCAATCGCAACAACACGCACCACTGCATTACCAAAAAATGAACACTGCATACCAAAAAAAAATTACTAACAATCTTATAAGTACCCAATCTCCTACATTCTAAACGCCACAAGGAAAAAAAGTGTGTTGCCATCTCCAAGTACATGCCCTCAAGCCATCTTAGT